GCAAAGCAAATTTGAACTACAAATCACAGAAGCGTTAGTCTGTCATTGCAAATTCTTTGAAGTAGCTGTTTGCTCACTTCGGGCTAGCTCCAAGCAAACCTCCTTAGAATAATTTCTTCTTGTTCTTGAAGATAGAGTCGATCTGATTCATGTCACCCTTTCCTGAGGATATGAATCTATGAACCTTAGGTTCCCATATTTTCAGGAAGGGATGTTTCTCATGAAATAGAATAAGCTCTGGGCATTATTTCCTGTCTAGTAAGTTCATGAGCCTGAGAAGGCAAGCTAAGATTTTCTAGATTTGAAATACGCCTTAAGTATCAGAGCAACCATCATCCCTGGCTTTTTGCCCATTATTATGTTTTGGCCTACATGATTTTATATATATATTATATATATATATATATATAATATATATATATTATATATATAATATGTATATATTATATATATTTATATAATATGTATATAAGATATGTATATTCTGTTTATGTATATATATATATAATATATATAATCATTTTTAGTTGTTTTTATAGGAAGAGTCAGCCTTAAAACTTAGTCTACTGTGTTATTGGAAGAGGATCCCCATTCACAATTGTTTCATTTCTGTGATTTATCCAGCACCAGACCAGGTGGTAGAATACAAGTCTACCTAAACCAGTGGTGATCTGTGTCTTCCATGAGCCAGCACTGGTCTGTGAATGTGCATCAGCCCACAAACAGAGACAGAAATGAAAGTGAAACCTTATCCTGTCTCAGACTGGCAATCAAGACAAATATAAGCCTGTATATCGTCATTGGATCCGCTAAAAACAGTTTGATTATTAGTTGTTCGTGGACCAGAGGTGGAGGAGCACAGTGTTTAACCTGGAATGATTTTTTAGACTTTTGTGAGGGTCACATAAAACCTGGTAAATTTTGGATACTCTGCCCAGAAATACGGGCATGTACAAAGAAATATGAAGTGTCAGTGTATGTATAAGGATCATCTGAAGTGTTACAGATCTGGGTTACTTAATCCTAGGAAGAGACAAAGGTTGGAGAAGACATTTTGAACAACCACTTCATCACCCGACAGTGCTACTCCACTTAATTGTGAGTAGAACTGGAGTAGACAAAAGCTGGACCCCATAACAACTATCAAGGGGAAAAGTTGAAAGATGCCATTTTTTAGTCGCTCCTGCCTCCAATCTGACCTGAGTGCCTACAATGTATCATATCAAGTTGTAGTGTCAAATCACTGCTCCAAATGTTGCAATTTGTCATTCTTTTTCCATTCCTCACCCCCAGTTTCCATGCCCAGAACTTGTATCCTCTTCTCACGTAAAAGGTTTCTACATTTAAAAATCTTGATGGAGGGCAGAGACCAAAGAGAGGAGAACCCACTTTGCCAAACAGTCTTGCATTGGACATGGCATGAAACTTCACAGTCACGTGACCACCTGCCAGACTCTGCCTCAGGACATGTGACAGATAGGCTGGGACAGCACAATATGGCATTTGGCGCAGGTGTTTGAGTGACAGTGGTGTCATGCAGTTGCAAGGGGCAGCAGCAACAGCAGTCTCAGCCTCCGGATCCAGTGTCCTATGTCAGGGGACTCTGTTGTGAGGGTGGCATCTTTACCCAACAGCAGGGCCCTGGCTATATGTGAGCCTCCCCCTCGGGTCCATTGTGGATTCTGTTCCCGTCTGTGTAGCCTCAAGCCTGGTTTGTGACTTTCCTTGAAATAGAACAAGGCCCCACATTCTCTCTCATCCCAGTCTCTGTAACTGTGCACATGTATCACAAAGAGGCAGAAGTCGATGCAGGCAATAGCTTCAGAGAGCATGATTTCAGACTTTTTTTCCAGTTTTACTGAGATATAACTGACATACACCATTGTGTCAGTTTAAGGCTACAGTTTCTTGACTTGATACATTTCTATGCTGCAAAAGGATTACAATATGTTGTAATTAGCATTAGCTAAGACCTGCATTGTGTCACATAGTTACCATTTCCTTTTGTGTGGGGAAAACATTTAAGATCTACACTCTTGTTATCGCAGAGATTTTATGTTGAGCTGATAACCACTTCCTCAAGCTGCGACCTGGCTGTGCCCCATGGGAGAGAAAATATGTATCTCCCAGCAGGTCTTGCATTTTTCTTCCTAGAAAAACAAAATAAAACAAAACCAAAAAACCAAAAAAAAAAAAAAACCACCCCAAAACAAAACAAAAAACATTTAAATGTGTATGTAAGACCCCTTGTCACAATGAGGGCTCTCATCAATGACCTCACTGTATCTCTATCTGGTGGAACACCTGGATTGCTTGTGGGTTTGTTACAAAATGCCCAGGCCTCTCCCCATCTACCACGTTAGAGTGTTGGGCGTGGACCCAGGAATCACTTAGTTAATAAAAGCAGCACCAACCTTGTTATAAACCCAGAATCTCATGCTCTACTCCAGATTGTCTAGCTCTTCCTAAGTCCAGGAAATTCCTGTGCACACTGAAGGCTGGGTCTCCCTGGAGTGTGTGCCTTCTAGGTGCAGAAGCAGAACTGTGCAGTGTGCTCTAGGTTTGCTCTGATCCGCTTGCTTAGTGCTGACAAGTCCAGGGTTTGGTCCTGATCCTCTCTCTTCTATGGCCATCATCCCCTTGGTGACCTCATCTATGCTGAAGGCTCTAAACATCATTTATATGGTGTCACCTTCCATATCTATTTCTCCCACCTAGATATTTCTCCTACTCTGTGATCTGTATACAACAGCCAACCTCACTTGTATTTCTAACAATCTCAGTTTCCACCCTCCTAAATTGGGTGCCTGTGATGCTGCTTCCCCAAATGTCCTACTTCCAGAGTCTTCTCTTTTCAACGGAAGTCACTCCACATTTCTACTTGTAGTCTGAAGGATTGGATGCCATCTTTGATTCCTTCTTTTCACAACCCAAAATTAATACATTAGGAAATGCTGTAAAGTCCATCTTTAAATGTATCCAGGACATAAACACACACACACACACACACACACACACACACACACACACACCAGAGCACAGTCACTTCCTATTATTTTTTCTCCTCAAACCCCAACATAAATCCAACATCCCCCCTACTGGTGCTTGACCTTCACCTCTTGATTCTGCACAGCAGCACACAGATGCTTCGAAAGAGAAGTAGTACCAGGCAGACCACCTGTTCTAAACCATCTAGTGACTCCACATGTCACTCAGAGAAAACTCAAAACCCTTCTAATCCTAAGGTCTAGACATCTGACTGCATTTCACATGCTCTCTGCTCCAGCCACAGTGGCCTCTCACCCTTCCTTGAACACAGGACACGCTCTTGCCCTAGTGCATGTACCTTGAGGTTCCCCTGCCTGGAAAGAATTCCTTGAGACATGCTCTTCAACAACTCCTTGTGTCCTGCACATCTCTCAGAGGTCAGCTTCCCAGTGAGGCTCACACTTACCAACATAGTAAAGTAGCCACCTTCCCTGTCCCCACACAGGTAACTCTCTGAGTCACCTTCCTCAAAGCACCTACCAATTTCCAATTTAAACACTTCCCTCATTTACCACATTTATACAATATACGGTTGACTCTGAATTACACTGCTTTGAAATGTGCACATCCACCAATATGTGGACTTTTTTTTACAATAAGTACTGTCAACGAAGTTTCTCTTATGTTTTCTATTTTCTCCAGCTTAATTTACTGTAAGAATACAGGTACATATACATGTAATGTACAAAATATGTGTTAAATGACTGTTTATGTTTTCAGTAAGACTTCTTATCAACAGTAGGTTATTATTAGTAGTAGTTAAGTTTCAGGAGAGTCGAAAGCTACACTTGGAGTTCTGACTGCACAATGGGGTCATTGCCCTCAGTCCCCACACTGTTCCAGGGTCAAGTGGAGTCTGTCCCTCACCCCTAGGACATATTCTCCACAAGAGCAGCAAGTTTGCCTCTTCTTACTTACTGAGGTGTCCTAGATGAAAAAAATAGCAGGTCCTGTATGTGGCACACGACACTGTCAGTGGAACGAGTGGTCAGTGGAGAGGGTCTCTCTCTTCTGGATGAGTCTCAGACACAGCTGGTCCGTGGCAGCTCCCACACAAAGTGCCCCCACCTTACCATCAGTGCTGCCTCTACTTACCCCAGGGCTGCCCCTCCCTCTCTCTGCTCAGCTCCCTCCTCCCACAGCGTTTCCCCTGCACAGCACAGCACAGCACACAGTTACAGTCCCGTCTTCAGAATCACTGTACTTAGGCTCTATGGGGCCCTTTCTCCAACCAAATAGAAATCTACATTAGACCCTGCTTTATGAATCCATGAACTTGGATGGGAACAAGCACCAGAATCACTAGAACTAAGGGCAGGGAGAGGGGGCAGAGAGGCAGGGAAGGTAGAAACTAACTGAAGTTTCATAAGATTGAGAAAATCTTAAATTCCTCTTCTGTCTACCTCCAGATCTAAAGAATAATCCAGAAGACAGCTCTAGAGGGAGGGGAGGAGATGGATGACTGAAAATTCATCTCTCCAAACCCCAGAGACTCCTGCATACAGGGCCCACCTACGCCTGTGGAACAACAGCCCAAAGGACTCCTGGTGCTATAACCACCGGGGTCACCCGGGTAGAATGAGACAGGAACTCAGACACCAAGAGCAAGAACAGGCCTGATGCTCCACAGAAACAAGGGGGAAAAACACCCAAAGATGGGGCTGAGGTCACGACCCAGGATGGAGCCTGGGCTGACTCAGTCACAGGAAGCTCTTGCTCCACAAGGTCCTGGTGACAGATGACGTCCACATCCCTGTGGTCATGGTCCTGGTGAGACAAGGTTCCACAGAAGGGACAAGGACAAGGAGCAGAGACATGACCCAGCTGAGGAGGGAGCACGACACTCCAAGGATGCACTGAGCACCGACTGGACCCAGGCCCTGTCCCCGCTAGGCTCCTCCAGCCCTCTCCTGTCCCCACCTGCAACAGACACAGCACAAGAAATATGCGGGTTCTGGGAGGTTCTCAGGGCTTTCATTTATTTTTTGTTCCAACCATACAAATCCTCTCTTTTATTACCTCATCATGCCCACATACCAAGAATTACAAAACACAATTCATATCTGGATTCTCATTTTCAGTGGGGAAGTAAGGCAACAATACTCTGACCAACATGAAATGAAGACAGGGATGGAGACAGTCCAGCCCTACCTCTGCTGGAATAAGAAAGCAGATCAGAAAGGGAACAGGAATCAGTATGGGGAGGGGTCATGGTGGGCGGGGGGGGGGCCAGTCTCCTGTGTCCTCACAATATGCTAATGGGAACGCAGACACATTCTGACACCATCTGCAGAAAGTCAAGGGATCTCGATGCCACCACGTGGGAGTGTGAACAGATCCTGCATCGCTCAGTGCACCACAGGCAGCGGGTCTCACACTGTGAAAAAAAATCATCATGAACACATTTAGGTCAGTTACATAAGTGCCACACACTCAACAGGCCCCCGCATATAAAAGTGTCCCTAGTGCCCCCACTCCTCCCCACTTCACCCTCCAGAGTCTTACCTTTAGGAGCCATTAGAGTTGAATCAGAGCCCTGGGTACTATAATCACCTGGGGCAGAACAAACAGGACATGATCAGAGCCACAGGAGTTGAGACTAAAGGAGGAGGTATGGTGGGGGATGAGCTCCCCATGGGGTCCTGTCTACACTGTCCCAGGGTTTCAGGGCTCACCTCCTCCATACTTAAGTGCAATAAGTATGCTTGCACTCTGTCTCTCTCTCACAAAAATGAATAAATGTTAAAAAATCAAAACAAGGTCATTTCTTTTAATATCCCAAATCCCAACAGAAAAGATGGTCAGTACTGAGAAACCGTCAAGCTTCTGGGAGGGTCACAGGTTAAATGGGTTGAGTTACATGGGTGATGGGTTCTAAGGAGGGCACTTGTTGTGATGAGCACTGGGTGTTGTATGTAAGCGATGAATCACTCAATTCTACTCTTGAAACTAATATTAAACTGCATGTTAACTAACTGGAATTTAAATAAAAACTTGAGATAAACAAAGAAATGGTAAAAAGCAGCGATTACTCAGTAACCAGCACAGGGAGATGTTTGGTGTTTTGTGGGTCATACGGTGCCTTGTTTTTGTCTCTAATTAGACAAAGTAATATCATGGTTTCACAGTCTCCTTGTGTGCTGTTGATGTTCTGTGAGATGACTGGCTCATGTCCCGCAGGAATAATATGGCCCAGTGGTGGCATCAGTCAGCTTCTGACCACACTGAGGCCCAGCTGTCAGTGTCAGACCAGCTCCCGATGTGGGGGCTGCTGTTTCTTCTGTCTTCAATTGCATATTTTTTTTCAACTTTTTTATTTATTTTTGGGACAGAGAGAGACAGAGCATGAACGGGGGAGGGGCAGAGAGAGAGGGAGACACAGAATTGGAAACAGGCTCCAGGCTCTGAGCCATCAGCCCAGAGCCCGACGCGGGGCTCGAACTCACGGACCGCGAGATCGTGACCTGGCTGAAGTCGGACGCTTAACCGACTGCGCCACCCAGGCGCCCCTTCGATTGTATATTTTAAAACACCTACAACCTATCAATAATAATTATAGAATCGGTGTTTTGGGGAGCCTGGGTGGCTCAGTCGGTTAAGGGTCGGACTCCTGATCTCATGGTTTGTGAGATGGAGCCCCGTGTCAGGCTCTGTGCTGACAGTGTGGATTCTCTCTCCCTCTCTCTCTGCCCCTCCACCATTCATGCTCACTCTCTCCTTCTCTCTCAAAGTGAATAAACAAACTTAAAAAATATACTTCAGAAAAAATTTATCCAATTGAGGGAAATTTTTCAAAGAATGTAAAAACTACCACAATATCCATGACCTATTAAGAAAATTGGTATTTTTACAGTTTATTCTTTCTAATTAATTTCTTTGAAAAAAAATTTAAATTTGAATATATTCGACGCAAGATTACATTAGTTTCAGGTGTACAACACAGTGACTCACTTTGTGTCTATACCATGCCCAGCTCACCACAGTGTAGATACCGTCTGTCACCACATAATGATGTTACACTGTCACTGACGATATTCCCTGTGCTGTACCTTTTATTCCTATGACCTTTTCCTTCCAGAAGTGGAGCCTGTGTTCCCACTCTCCTCATCCGGGTGCTCATCCTCCCAACCTCCTTCCCTCTGGCAATCATCAGTTTACTCTCTGTATTTATAGGTCAGATTCTGCTGTTTGTTTCTTTATTCATTTGTTTTGTTTTGTAAATTCCACATATGAATGAGATCATACGGTCCTTGTCTTTCTCAGTCTTAGCAGACACACTGCCCTGTTTGTCCATCCATGTTGTCACAAGTGGCAAGATCTCATCCTTTTTGTGGCTGCATAATAGTCTGTCGTGTGTATTTGGATATGTGTGTATATACCACACATCTTCCTTATCCATATGTCTATGGGTGGACACAGGTTGTATCAGTGTGACTTCTACAAGAACCTCACACACTGAACATCATCTGGGATGAGGGCGCCCCCTGGTGTCTGGGTCCCTGTCCAGGTGCTGGAGCTGAAGGAGACCCTAGGGAGGGCCTGGCTGAGGTGGAGAAAGGCAGCTGGGTCTTCTCTCCTTAGTCCTGTGGCCTCACGTGGGGTGGAAGGTCAGGGGACATCCCCTACTTCTCTGCTCTCGGGTGGATTCTGACTGAGAAGCCTGAGTGGGGTCTGGACTGTAAGTCAGGTAGACATGTCTGAGCAGAAGCCTGGGCATCAGTGGGAAGAGGAAGAAGCTTCTGAGCAGCCCTGGACTCCACAGGGGTCAGGCTCAGGGGTGAGGCAGGATTGCAGGAGAGGAGAGCTCAGGAGCCGGTGCCATTGCTGAGGTGTCTGTGTCCCTGTGCACCTCATCCTCTAACCCCTTGATGGTGATACAGGGAAAACCGAAAAGTAGAAACACACTTTTTGGGCACCTTATTTATAAAATTCAAAACTCAGTTAAACAAAAATCATTTCTGATTTGGAAATAGCATCTCAATGTCTATATGGTAGTCTACAGTGTAGATGTGCACACTGGGTTATAGGACTAAGATGACAACTTCCCTAAAACTCTTGCCAGAAAATATAAAAGGGGTCCTTGTGGCGGAGGCACAACCTGGTCCCCAGAACTCTGTCTCCGAAGGCATATGAGACCCAGCTGACACCTGGTGTGAGTGCATCCTGTGCCACAAGTGTTAAGAGTGAACACACACGCTTCATTTAACACCCATCCTCCCCCGGGGATTGCACAAATACATTTGTGGGTATTTTCCTCTACTGGACAGGGATCACAGCAGGAAAGGTTGTCTGAGAATTGGCTCTTTAATATCACTGGGGATGATAGGGCCCTGAAGAGATACATACCAGTAGAGGGAGTGCCATGACAGGCATATTGCATGAAGAACCTCCAATAAGTAGCTCCTGGTTACTCAGCTTTCCCTCAGCTATTCAATCAAACACTAACGTAGGTGCTGCTGGGCAGGGACCTTGAAGATACAAGCAAGGTCTTGTATCAGTTGACCTTAAGAAAGGGAGATTACCTTAGGTTGGACGGCCCTAATCAGGTGAGTTTTTAAAAGGACTTGGTTCTTCCTGAGCAAAAGGATTCGAAGTGTGAGAGGGATTCAATGTGAATGGGTTCCCTATTGTTGGCGCTGAAAATGGAGAAGCACAGTGGCCAACAATGCTTGTGGGCACCAGGGACCATTCCAGCTGGCAAGGAAATGGGGACTTCAGCCTTCTAAGTGTAAGAAACAGAATTCCGCCTCCAGCTCTGTATGAACTTGAAGGAGAAATCCACCGAAAGATGACAACACAGCTTTGTGAAATCATGAACAGAGAAGCCATCTACATCATGTCTAGATTTCTGACTAAAAAGCTGTAGGGAAATGAATGTGTGTTGGGGCACCTGGGTGGCTCAGTCAGTTAAGCGTCTGACTCTTGATTTCAGCTCAGGTCATACCCTCAACAGCTTGTGAGTTTGAGCCCCTCTTCAGGCTCTGCATTCGTAATTCAGAGCCTGCTTGGGATTTTCTCTCCCTTTCTCTCCGCCCCTCCCACCCTCTCAAAATAAATACACTTTTAAAAAATTCATGAGTGTCCTTTAGAGCCACTAAGTTGTGGCTCTGCAGTAATAGAAAATGAATATACAAGCTCACTATGCAGCAAATCAGCTCATTGCACTTTTTCCGCTGAAATGAATGTGAACTAGCATGCACACTAGTTGCATGAAACCAAACCTTTCCTGACTTTTCGGTGTATACCATTTAGTGATTTTTATGTGATGCAGTGAAGTTCTAATACAGTCATATTTCATTCATGCATTCAACAACAATTAATTTAGAGCCTACTATGCACCAGGAATGGCTTTCTATCCTGGGGATACAGGTGTCACCAAATAAGCTCAAAGCCCCTGTGCTCATGAGCCTTACATTCTAGAGACTTCCCAAGAGTGAGACGGAGCCACTGGAGCATTTTCAGTGAACACATGACGTGACCTGACTCACATTAGCAGGATCGCTGACCCTGTGGGAAGAAGAGTCCCAGTAGCAGGTGATGCGGGGCACCAGGGCCACAATCCAGCAGGGAGAGGGTGGTGGAAACTAAGGGGAGGAGAGGACCTGAGTCATGAGAGAGATGGAGGGATGGGCTGCAGACACAGGGTGAGAAAAAGGAGAGGTAAGGAATTCTAAGCAGTGGAGTTCTCAGATGTAAATATGTTATTATACAGAGTTTTAATAAGTATCTACAGGGCGTAGCAAGATATTCTTTGCATCTACTATTTACTATACTCTGGGGCTGCCTGCAAACCCATTGCCTCCTTATGATAATCAGGGTAAAGAAAATAATACCAAGTGCCCCAATAATATGCACATAACTTAGGTATTAGTTCAAACACAGGAAATGCATGGATGCTGGTGAAGGTCGTTTGGCTGCACTGAACACTTGCAACTTGGAGG